CTCTTGTAATCACTCCTGTCTTCTCAATCAGAGACATAAAATGGGGTGTTGGTTTCCATTTCTGACTGCAGAACTGGAAAGAGATTACCAACAGTCTTCAGAGTTTTCTGTAGTTTAGATCACTGGAGCTCTGCTTAAGTCTTTCTGAGCAGGAAGAGATAATGAAGAAGTTGAATACATCAGATTTCAGATGCTGATAATGTAGTGTTGAATCCTATCTGCTCCACGCCAAGTTGTTGGCATCTCTGAGAGTTACCATTGTCATTTGAGTTGGGACCTCATCTACAGAGCCAACAAAGCTCTTGTCCTCCAATGAGAGGACTTCGGATTGTTCATGGAAAAATGGAATGACAAGTATGAATTACTGCTTTTGAAATCCACATAGATTTTTTTCATAATACATTATTTTCCATACATTATACATTTTTACAGTTGCTTTTTTTGTAAAATAAACACATTTTTATCTAAAAAGGCTTCAAAACTTCAATATGGCTGTGAACATGTATTTTTGAGAAGAATGATGCTCTCCCTTTCATTTTTTAAATTTTTTTATTTTTTGACAGGCAGAGTGGACAGAGAGAGAGAAACAGAGAGAAAGGTCTTCCTTTTGCTGCTGGTTCACCCTCCAATGGCCGCCATGCATCCGGCGCACTGCGCTGATCCAATGGCAGGAGCCACGTACTTATCCTGGTCTCCCATGGGGTATAGGGCCCAAGCACTTGGGCCATCCTCCACTGCACTTCCTGGCCACAGCAGAGAGCTGGCCTGGAAGAGGGGCAACCGGGACAGAATCCGGTGCCCCGACCGGGACTAGAACCCGGTGTGCCACTGCCGCAAGGTGGAGGATTAGCCTAGTGAGCCGTGGTGCAGGCCACTCCCTTTCATTTCTGAATGCCCTAATGCTGTACCTTCCTTGGCAGAGTGGAGGCATCAGCAATGAAGATCTCTGTTACACGTTCAGTAGACCCTTCCACGGTTCGCAATAACTGGCCGTCATCAGTGTGGCTTTAACACACTGGTGCTTTCTTGAAGACCCCTTTCAGGAAAGTCCCACAGAACTAGAGACCATGGAATAGCACGTGCTTGCATCTCTGTGAAGGACACATGGATCCTGTAATGGCACTTAATGGAATCTACAGCAAAATCTTTTGTTTCTGAGTATTCAAAAATCAAGGCAGAACTCTGTTTCACATATAGCACAAATTCACAGGAGAAGGGGGCAGGCAATGCTTGTGCTCTCCATTCTCCTGGATGATAACCTGTCACAGATATGGGTGTTATTCTTCCTATGTCCAGTGGACAATACAATCACGGGGAGGTGGAGAGATTTACACATGTGTTGGCATGTATTGTAGGTGAATGATGCTGATTTCCTTACTCCCTCCGTACAGCAAGCAGAAATAATGTTATGCCAAGTAGAAATAACATTCCCACACAACATGAAATTTCTTGTTATTAGGAAAGGATTACTACTAGATATTACACAGAAAAACATTTGATGATACTAATATAGAGTTGATATAGATATACAGATAGATAGATGGTGTATCAAATATATAGTTAGTTGGTTTATCAAAGATGTATTTGATTGTTTTTTGGAATAGCAAACAGGTGTTGGACAAAACCATACTTGCATCCAATTTTGCTACTCATCCAGAAATCCTCACTTGTGTGATATGAAGAGAGGGGCATAGATTTTCAAAAGCTTGTCATAATAATGCACGGACTAATTAGATGATGCCCCCCTCCCAGCTAAAGACGTGAAGCAGATGAAATGTTTGAAGTGAATGTACATCCTAGTGGGGCTTAAAACCCAACTTCACTGCACCCTAGTCTGTTTCAGGGGTAGTAGGTGTGTATACTAGATACCTTCACGTACTTTCCAGGTGAGGTTTAAAGAAATCTACTTAGAGATGCACAAACTAATACTGACAAGAAGGAGCATGTGTTGTGGTGCACTTGGTTGAGCCTCAGCTTGGGAAACTTGTCTCTCCTAGAGTTGTACCTGGTTTGAGTCCCAGTTACTCTGATTCTGACCAAGCTTTCTACTAACATGCATGACAGACTCGGATGATGACCCAAGTACTCAGGTTTCTGACATCACTTAGGAGATCTGGGCTCCAGCCTCAGCCTGAGCTCTTATGGGCATTTGGGGAGTGAAGCAGTGGGGGAAAGATACCTCTGTGTCAAATAGGATGAAAAATGAAGAAAGAAAGATAAAAAGATTAAAGAAAACTTCCTTCCAACAGTCTTATAGGGCAAACATCCATTTCACGGATGAAGAATCTGCACAAGTATGTTTGCATTACTTCCTGGAATTCTCTGTTTTACATTTTTCTCAGTTCAATCAGCTTCTCCTGCTACAGTAATGAACTACGGTTGTCTTAGGGCAGATAAAGTTACAGAATTGCAAGCCATGAATAAGGAAAAGTTAATATGAAAATATTTTCTTTATGCATAGGAAGATTGGGACTCAAGTTGACTTTGTGTGCTCTATGATACCAAACACTTCAACTGAAAATAGGGAGGTTTATGATCATAAAAACTGTAAAGCGGCATTACGAGGTTGTTATGAAAAAAGAAAAATTTTAAAAATATTTAAATAAGATACACCTCTCAAACACAAGATAATTTACTGAGATCTTGAGGCAAATACAAAAATTACCTGTTCAAGCTTTTGAAAATTCAGACATTTCTTTTATTTTTTTTATCTTTTATTTAATGAATATAAATTTCCAAAGTACGACTCATGGGTTACAATGGCTTCCCCCCCATACCGTCCCTCCCACCCACAACCCTCCCCTTTCCCACTCCCTCTCCCCTTCCATTCACATCAAGATTCATTTTCGATTATCTTAATATACAGAAGATCAGCTTAGTATACCTTAAGTAAGGATTTCAACAGCTTGTTCCCACACAGAAACATAAAGTGAAAAATAATAGATGATTTTTTTTTAAATCATGATGAAATCAGATCAGACCTATTGTCATGTTTAATCCCAGTGAGAGTCAAGTTGGGAATTGATAATTTCTTTTTTTTTTTTTTTTTTTTTTTTACAGAAGATCAGTTTAGTGTACATTAAGTAAAGATTTCAATCGTTTGCACCCCCATAGAAACACAAAGTGAAATATACTGTTTGAGTACTCGTTATAGCATTAAGCCTCAGTGTACAGCACATTAAGGACAGAGATCCTACATGAGGAGTAAGTGCACAATGACTCCTGTTGTTGACTTTACAAATTGACACTCCTGTTTATGGCATCAGTAATCTCCCTATGTACCAGTCATGAGTTTCCAAGGCTATGGAAGCCCCTTGAGTTCTCCGACTCTTATCTTGTTTAGACAAGGTCATAGTCAAAGTGGAGGTTCTCTCCTCCCTTCAGAGAAAGGCACCTCCCTCTTTGAAGACCTGTTCTTTCCACTGGGATCTCACTCACAGAGATCTTTTTGCCAGAGTGCCTTGGCTTTCCATGCCTGAAATACTCTCATGGGCTTTTCAGCCAGATCCGAGTGTCTTTAGGGCTGATTCTGAGGCCAGAGTGCTATTTAGGACATCCGCCATTCTATGAGTCTGCTGAGTATCTCACTTCCCATGTTGGATCACTCTCCCCTTTATTTATTCTATCGGTTAGTGTTAGCAGATACTAGACTTGTTTATGTGCTCCCTTTGACTCTTAGTCCTTTCATTATGATCAATTGTGAACTGAAATTGATCACTTGGACTAGTGAGATGGCATTGGCACATGCCACCTTGATGGGATTGAATTGGAATCCCCTGGTATGTTTCCAACTCTACCAATTGGGGCAAGTCAGCCCGAGCATGCCCCGAATTATACATCTCTTCCCTCTCTTATTCCCACTCTTATGTTTAACAGGGATCACATTTCAGTTAATTTTCAACACTTAAGAATAACTGTGTGATAATTACAGAATTAAACCAGTCATATTAAGTAGAATAGACAAAAAAAAATACTATGAGGGATAATGTATTAAGTTGTCCATTAGCAGTCAGGGCTATGCTGATCAAGTCACCATTTCTCATAGTGTCCATTTCACTTCAGGAGGTTTCCTTTTTGGTGTTCAGTCAGTTGTCACCGATCAGGGAGAACATATGGTATTTGTCCCTTTGGGACTGGCTTACTTCACTCAGCATGATGTGTTCCAGATTCCTCCATTTTGTTGCAAATGACTGGATTTCGTTGTTTCTTACTGCGGTATAGTATTCTAAAGAATACATATCCCATAATTTCTTTATCCAGTCTACCGTTGATGGGCATTTAGGTTGGTTCCAGGTCTTGGCTATTGTGAATTGTGCTGCAATAAACATTAGGGTGCAGACCGCTTTTTTGTTTATCAAATTAAACTCCTTTGGGTAAATTCCAAGGAGTGGGATGGCTGGGTCGAATGGTAGGGTTATATTCAGGTTTCTGAGGAATCTCCAGACTGATTTCCATAGTGGCTTGACCAGTTTGCATTCCCACCAACAGTGGGTTAGTGTCCCTTTTTCCCCACATCCTCACCAGCATCTGTTGTTGGTAGATTTCTGTATGTGAGCCATTCTAACCAGGGTGAGGTGAAACCTCATTGTGGTTTTGATTTGCATTTCCCTGATTGCTAGTGACCTTGAACATTTTTTCATGTGCCTGTTGGCCATTTGGATTTCCTCTTTTGAAAAATGTCTATTGAAGTCCTTGGCCCATCTCTTAAGTGTGTTGTTGGTTTTGTTTTTGTGGAGTTTCTTGATCTCTTTGTAGATTCTGGTTATTAACCCTTTATCTGTTGCATAGTTTGCAAATATTTTTTCCCATTCTGTCGGTTGTCTCTTCACTCTCCTGACTGTTTCTTTTGCAGTACAGAAACTTCTCAATTTGATGCAATCCCAATAGTTGATTTTGGCTTTGACTGCCTGTGCCTCCCGGGTCTTTTCCAGAAATTCTTTGCCTGTGCCAATATCTTGAAGGGTTTCTCCAATGTTCTCTAATAAGTTAATGGTGTCAGGTTGTAGATTTAGGTCTTTAATCCACGTTGAGTGGATTTTTGTGTAAGGTGTAAGGTAGGGGTCTTGCTTCATGCTTCTGCACGTGGAAATCCAGTTTTCCCAGCACCATTTATTGAATAGACTGTCCTTGCTCCAGGAATTAGTTTTAGATCTCTCTGTGTGTTTCCCTATTAAACAAAAAGGAGATACAAAAGGGAAAGCAGAAAACCAGAGAATGATGAAACCTCTAAAAGATAACTAACACACAACAGTATTTTCCAATCATGAACGATCAACATTAAGTTAGTGTTGACATAACACAGTCCTGGCATTTAGAGCACAAATAAGTCAATGAAATTTGTATTATTGTTAAAGTATATTTAACTGCTTCTTAATTACGCTTATTTAGAATATTGTCTTTGAAGACAAAAGGGCATTTCCTATTCTTTTTTATTAAAAGACTTGGTTGCATTTGACTATGTTCATGGACTAGTTATGTCTAATGTTCTGGGTTTCTTAACTTTTTAAAGTTGCTCTAAAAAACATTCTTTTAATTATATTTCTTCTGTGGACCTTAGAGTTACCCTGATGTTATACCCATGATTAGCTGAATTAAAACTATATGTAGAATAACTATATGCAAACACTGTGTGCCCATGTCTCCTTTTTCCATCCCTATCTCTTTTTCCAGAAGGAGCACAGGCTCTGTTGAAACACAAAATTGGACGTGTGTCCCAGAATTCCATCTCATGGGCTTCTCAGAGGATCCAGACCTGCAGTCCGTCCTGTTTGGGCTGTTCCTGTCCATGTACCTGGTCACAGTGCTCGGGAACCTGCTCATCATGCTGCTCATCATCTCTGACACCCATCTGCACACCCCCATGTACTTCTTCCTCTGCAACCTGTCCTTGGCTGACATGGGTTTCACCTCCACCATGGTTCCCAAGATGATTGTGGACATCCACACTCACAGCACAGCCATCTCCTATGTGGGCTGCCTGACACAGATGTCTCTCTTTCTCATCTGTGGATGCATGGATGATTTGATTCTGACTGTGATGGCCTATGACCGGTTTGTCGCCATTTGTCACCCACTGCATTACCAGGTCATCATGAACCCCCGCCGCTGTGGCTTCTTGGTTTCAGTGTCTTTTGTGGCCAGCCTTTTTGATTCTCTGCTGCACAACTTGATATTATTACCAGATACCTGCTTCAAGGCAGTTGAAATTTCTAATTTCTTTTGTGACCCTTCTCAGCTTCTCATTCTTACATGTGATAACACCTTCAACCATGACATAGTCATGTATCTTATTGGTATCATATTTGGGTTTTTCCCTATCTCAGGGATCCTCTTCTCTTACTATAAAATCGTGTCCTCCATTCTGAGAGTCCCATCCCCAGATGGGAAGTACAAAGCCTTCTCCACCTGTGGCTCACACCTGTTGGTCGTTTGCTTATTTTACGGATCAAGTTTAGGCGTGTATCTCAGTGCATCCTTCTCCACCTCTTCCAGAGAGAGTGCTGTGGTCTCACTGATGTAACCCTGGTCACCCCTATGTTGAACCCCTTCATCTACAGCCTGAGGAACAGGGACATCAAGAGAGCTCTGCAGAGAACTCTCAACAGAATAAGCTAATCTCACTGCCCTTGCTATCCTTGTGTTCCTAGAACTGAAATGGGCAGCTTCAAGATGTCTAGAATCAGTCCTAAGGTCACAGCATGTGAAGGCATCTATCATCTTCTCCATGTCTTTTTTTTTTATTTTTTGACAGGCAGAGTGGACAGTGAGAGAGAGACAGAGAGAAAGGTCTTCCTTTTGCCGTTGGTTCACCCTCCAATGGCCGCCGCGGCCGGCGCACTGCGGCCAGCGCACCGCGCTGATCCGATGGCAGGAGCCAGGAGCCAGGTGCTTTTCCTGGTTTCCCATGGGGTGCAGGGCCCAAGCACCTGGGCCATCCTCCACTGCACTCCCGGGCCACAGCAGAGAGCTGGCCTGGAAGAGGGGCAACCGGGACAGAATCCGGTGCCCCGACCGGGACTAGAACCCGGTGTGCTGGCGCCGCAAGGCGGAGGATTAGCCTAGTGAGCCGCGGCGCCGGCCCATCTCCATGTCTTTTGGGCTTCTCTTTCCACAACCTTTCCTCTCAACATATGGGAAGCTAACGCTGTAGGCTGGGGCTTTAACTTGCTGTGTCACTGTGCAGGCCCCAGGTTTGGAGCTCTTAAAAAAATCACTACTCTACTTTCCACATTTCTTTAATAAAAGGTCACTCATGGTCACTAACCTTAACTACATCTGAAGTGTGGTGCCTTTCACTCATCTCTTCTCTCCCCACTCAGGCCTCAGTGTTGGAGAGAGTCCCTTTAGTTACCATTTCTGTTCACATGTTTTTCCCTCTTTACCTCTGTCCTGCAGTAGCTATTGGACCCATTGCCATATTCCGTTCTCTGCATTATGATAACTGGATTTGTTTCTGTTTCTTGACTGATGAATACATCACAACATGGGGCAAAAGGTAGAGGATGAGCTGTGATGGGAGTATTTAAAAATGTGCACAAGGGGGCGGCACTGTTGCATGTTAGGTTAAGTCTCTGCCAGCAGTACTGGCATCCCATATGGTGCTGGTTCAAGTCCTGGCTGCTCCACTTCTGATACAGCTTCCTGCTAATGGCCTGGGAAATAAGCGGTGGATGGCCTAAATGCTTGGGCCCATGCACCCATGTTGGAGACCCAGAAGAAGCACCTAGCTCCTGGCTTTGGATTAGCCCATCTCCAGCTGTTACAGCCATTTGGGGAGTGAATCAGTGGAAGGAAGATCTGTCGCTCCTTCTCTTTCTGTAACTCTGCCTTTTGAATAAAATATTTTTTTTTCATGTGCTCAAGAAATCAAGCCAGTTTTCAATATCAGTCTTCTCATAAACACAAAAGAGGCAGAATTTAGGGTCTTCTCATTTCTGTTGATGACACTCATCTTTTGAGGTGGGTGTTAGTGCCATGTGGGATGCCTGTACTGCAGGGCCTGGTTTTGAATCCTAGCTCCACTCTGATTCTGAATTCCTACTAACGTGCATCCTTGGAGGCAGCAGGTGATGGCTCAAGCAGTTGGGTCCCTGCCACACACGTGGGAGATGTGGACTGAGTTCTTAGCTTCTGGCTTTGGCCTGGCCCAGCCTTGGCTGCTGTGGGCATTTAGGGAGTGAACTAGTGGATGGACAACATTGCTCTCTCAATCTCTCAGTCTTGTCCTTTCAAATAAATAAATTTTTACAACTAAAAAAAAAAAAAGGAACATTCTTCATGTGAGGGAAAAACAGCGAATGTCTTATTTTATTGTGCAAACATAACTCTCCAGACATAGTATGTCTGGCAGGTGAGAACCTTAATTTTTTTTTAAAGAAGGTTTGCTTATTTGAAAGGAAGAGAGAGAGAAAGAGAGAGAGTGAGAGAGAGTGAGAGAGAGAAAAAGAGAGAGAGAAAGAGAGAGAGAGAGAGTGAGAGAGTGAGAGAGAGAGAGATCTTCTGTCTGTTGGTTCACTGCCCAAAAGGCTGCAATGGCTGGGCCAGTAGCCTGGAAGTCCATCCTGGTCTCCCATGTGAGTGTCATGGGCCCAGGCATTCAGACCATTTTCCACTGCTTTCCCAGGTGCACGGGCAAGGAGCTGGATCAGAAGTGGAGCAGCCTGGACTTGATTGGTGCTGAGATGAGATACCAGGTGGCAGGCAGCAGTTTAACCTGCTGCACCACAATGCTGTCCCTGCCCAAACACTGAACGAGGCAATAGCGTGTGCCTCCCACTCTTCAGGTTTCCAGTCCATCCAGCGGGAATGGTTCCTGTGCTTTCCATCACCGGAGGTGCCATGAGTGTTAGCCGGCCCATCACCGGAGCCACCACAGGTGTTAGCTGGCCCATTCCCGTGCCTGTCTTCTTGCCAGTCCTCAGGACAGAGCCTCAGCCCCCATGGGTCCCTGCACACAGGAGGGAGAACAGATTTGTGCTCCTTGGCCATGCCCCTGAGCAAGGCAGCACGGCCTGCAGGGTGCTTTGCGAGATGCTGGGTGTGGAGGATTGTCAGGAACATATTTCCCCAGCATTAGTTCACATCAGATGGGTGGGAAAGCAAGACTGGCTGCCCCGACATGCCAGCTTTCAGCTCAGAGGTCTGTAATGTTTATGCTTTTCAGTCTTGTTGGGAATTTGAGAATCCAACTGGTACCAAATGCTTGCTCCATGACACCATCTTGAGAAAGGAGCCACAGTTGGAATCTGTACTGCTGTAGGAGATAGAAACCCCTGTATGTCCTCATCCCTGGGGATCCACAGTCACTCCACTGTACAGGCAAGAGGACCACAGCCTCATAAACCTAGCTAGACCCAGCAGCAACAGCGACCAACATTTTAGCCTAAGCGGTGTCCTGCACTACACTGGTCAGGTGGTTCTGCACAGCAAAGTGGGTCCTATTCCCAAAACCTTAAGAAGGAGTGATCACCTCTGTGGATACAGGACCATCTCCTCTACTTCCTCAACTTTGACCCCACCAGGGCAGTGCAAGCTCTGGCTTTGGTGGGTGTGAGCAGTGCTGCATGTTTGTCCCAAACTCCCGCCCAGCCATACTGTGGATCCTTCTGAGCCTGCCCTGGCTTTGAGGGGACTTCAACACCCTACTTTTTCAGTGTACAGATCACTGGAAAACAAGCATCAGAATTAAACTATACTATAGACCACAGCAGGATACATCCTCTTTCCATCAGCATGAACCAACGGCAAAGGAAGACCTTTCTCTCTGTCTCTCTCTCTCTCACTGTCCACTCTGCCTGTCCAAAAAAAAAATAGTCTTTAGGATACGCTATTGATTAGGCCACAAAAAAAAATCCCAGCAAATTCAAAAAAATCAAAATCCTATCACATTATCCTCTCTGACCACAATGGAGTAAAACTAGAAATGGTCAGCCAAAGAGAAAATAACTCTAGAAGCTATCCAAATACATGGAAATGGAACAACTTGCTTCTGAATGAAAAATGGGTCCTTGAAAAATAAGGAAAATTTAAAAATTCCTTGCATCTTATGAAAATAGAAACACAACAGCTCAAAACTTATGTCATATCGGAAGCAATTCTAGCATTTCTAATGAAAAGTTTATAACAGTAAGCACCTACACACACACACACACACACACAAATACCACAACCTAACTACATCTTAAGGACCTTGAAAAGCAAGATACAACCAAGCCCAAAGTTAGGAGGAAAGAAATAAATAAAATAGGAAACTAAAATAGAAAAGATTAATGAAGTAAAAAATTTGGTTTTTTTGAAAAGATAAAACATACATCTTTAGCTAGAGTAAAACCAGAAAGCAGACTTCAATAAATAAAAGCAGAGATGGAAAAGGAGACATTACAAATGACACCACAGAAGTATAAAGAGCCATTACAGACTATTATGAATGACTACACACCAACAAATTGGAAAACTTTGAAGAGGAGGACAGATTTCTATACCTATAACTGACCAGGATTGAATAACAAAGAAAACCTGAATGGATCAATAAAAAGTAGTGAGATGGAAGTGTAACAAGAAGTCTCCGGACAAAGAAAAGCCCAGGACCAGATGGCTTCACTGCTGAATTCTAGAAAACTCCTAAGGAAGAACAAACAGCAATTAATCTCAAAGTACTCCCAAGTAATCGAAAGGAAGGGAACCCTTCCAAATGCATTCTATGAGGCTAGCATTACCTTGATTTCAAAACTAGTCAAGGACACAACAGGAAAAAAACTATAGGTCAATATCCCTGATGAACACAGATGCAAAAATTCTCAGCTGTATACTAGCAATTGGCATTCAATACACACACCAACAAAAGTCCTTTAGCATGATGAAGTCTGAGTTCTATCAGGGATTCAGAAATATTCAGCCTATGCAAATCAATAAGTAATATATCACATCAAAAGAAAAAAGGGCAAAATTCATATGATCATCTCAGTAGATGCAGAGAGCATTTGGCACTATTCAGAATCCACTTGTGACTGAAAATCTTAAATAAATTAGGTATAGAAGGAATACACCTCAACACAGTAAAGGCCAGATGGGACAAACCCATAGCCAACGTGATACTGGAAGGAGCAAAGCTGAAACCATGTCCTCTAAGATCTGGAGCCAGCCAGAAAAGGTTGTCAACCTTCACTGCTCTTATTCAGTATAGCATTGGAAGTTTTAGCCAAAGCAGCTAGGCCAGGGAAAGAAATAAAAGGCAGACAAATAGGAAAGGAAGAAATCAAATTGCCCCTGTTTGTAGAGGACATGAGTTTGTATGGAAATAAAGCTGAATACATTCACCAGGAGACTAGTGGAACTTAAAAACAAGTTCAGTTGCATGGTACAAATTAAGTGTGCAAAACTCAGTAGCATTTCTATAACACCAATAATGAACTGCACCAGAAAGAAGTAATTACAAAAAATTGTATGCCTTGCAATCCATTTAACCATGGGTATGAAAGATCTCTACTATGAAAATTACATAACACTACTGAAAGAGGTAAAGAAAACAAAACAAAAAGACTTGCAAGATATAATTAAAACGTCCATACTACCTGAAGAGGTTTCCAGATTCAATGCAGTCTCCATGAAAATACCTACTACATTTTTCATGCAACTATTAAAAATTTATAAAATTCAATCTTGAACAAAAACAACAAAGTGGGAGGCACCAGAATACTAGATTTCAGGACATTCCACAGAGCTATTTCAACTAAAACAGCATGGAACTTGCATAAAAATAGTCATGTAGAACCAAGAGAGTGATTGGAGATCAAAAAAATGAATCCATGAATCTATAGTCAACTTTGACAAAGTTGCTGAAAACACACATTGGAGCATGGACAGTCTTTTCAGTTACTGGCAAGGGAAGACTGTATATCCACATGCAGTTAATTGAACTAAGATGTTCCCTTCCTCCTATACAAAAATCTACTCAAAATGGATCAGAGATCTAAATGTAAGACCCAAAACTATCAAATTGCTAGAAGGAAAAGGGAAACACTTCAATATAATACCACAGGCAATGTTTTTTTTTTTTTGGGGGGGGGGATAAGATCCCAAAAGCACAAAAAAGAAAAGCAAAAACATATCAGATTGTATCACAGAGAGAAACTTCTGCACAGTCAAGGAAGCAATCAGCAAAATGAAGAAACAACCAAGATAATGTGAGAAAATATTTATGCTATTCTTCTTAGAAAGGATTAATATCCAGAATATATAAGGAACCCAGAAAACCTAATTAGAAAACAAAAAATCAAGTTACAAAATGGGCATAGAGTATGAATAGAGATTGTGCCCTTGGACTGGCCTTCAGGGAGAAACATACACATTTAGCCCAATTCCAGGTGTGCATTTCTGGTTCCACATGCTTAAGGAGTTATTTGGAAGGCAAATGGGACTTCTAATGGCAGACAATAAAGAAACAACACATGGGGACTCTAATACTGTAGTTACTGGTGATAGTAAAGGGCCCACTGAAGTAGCAGTTATGCATTGTCAGGGGCACCAATCAGCCAGCAGATGAAGCAGCCAACATTTTCCTAATTTTAGGTGAAATTACTTTAGCAACTGTGAAAGCACTAAACCACTTAAAAGAAAACTTGAAAATCATTCACAGAGATATCAAACCTTCCAATATTCTTCTGGATAGAAGTGGAAATATTAAACTCTGTGACTTTGGCATCAGTGGACAGCTTGTGGGCTCCATTGCCAAGACAAGAGGTGCTGGGTGTAGGCTTTACATGGCACCTGAAAGAATAGACCCAAGTGCATCATGACAAGGATATGATGTTCGCTCTGATGTCTGGAGTTTGGGGATCATATTGTAGGAGTTGGCTACAGGCTGATTTCCTTAGCCAAAGTGGAAGGGTGTATTTGATCAGCTAACATAAGTCGTGAAAGGAGATCCTCCACAGGTGAGTAATTCTGAGGAAAGGGAATTCTCCCGAGTTTCATCAACTTTGTCAACTTGTGCCTTACAAAGGATGAATCCAAAAGGCCAGAGTATAAAGAACTTCTGAAACATCCCTTTATTTTGATGTATGTGGAACGTACCATTGAGGTCGCATGCTATGTTTGCAAAATCCTGGATCAAATGCCAGCTACTCCCAGCTCTCCCATGTATGTCGACTGGTATCGCTGCTACATCAGACTCTAGAAAAAAGGGCTGAGAGGAAGCAAGATGTAAAGAATTTTCATCCCGTATCACAGTGTGTTTATTGCTCGCCCAGACACCATGAGCAATAAGATTGGTGTTTGTTTTCATCATGTCTGTATACTCCTGTCACCTAGAACATGCACCCCTGCAATACCTGATTGATCACACAGTGTTAGTGCTGGTCAGAGAGACCTCATCCTGCTCTTTCATGATGAACATGTTCATGAAATGTGGAAGTCTGTAAGATCAAGTTGTTGACTGTGACTAGATCACACCTTAAATTCATTTCTAGACTTGAAACCTGGAGACGCAGCTACTGGAATGTTGTTTGATCAGACTTCGAAATCCTGGAAAGACGTGGTGATGGATGTACTAAGTCTGAACTAGAGACTTGGGCTTGAGTGAGAACTCGCACAGCCAATGAGACACATTGCTTTCTGGAGCTGGGAGACAAAGGAGGAGTTTACCTTCTTCACCAAGTGCAATAGGTTTACTGATTTGATATTCTGTTGCTTTACAGTCACAGTCAATGTTTGGGGATCGATGTGCTCAGCCAAATTTCCTGTTTTAAATATCATGTTAAATTAGAATGAATTTATCTTTATGAAAAACCATGTTGCATTCAAAGAGGTGAACATTAAAATATTGAGACAGGATAGAATGTGTTCTTTTCTCCTTTACCAGTCTTTCTACTTTTCACTGGGAAGACTCAGGAGTCTGCCACTTGTCAAAGAAGGTGCTGATCCAAAGAATTTTTCACTCTCAGAATTTGGTGTGCTGCCAACTTGATGTTTCACCTGCCACAAACCACCAGGACTGAAAGAAGAAAAAAGTACAGAGGGCAAAGTTTACAGATATTTTAATTCTAATACTGTATCCAGAACAACTTGTAGCAGCTACGTGTGTTTCCCCTTGGTCCCAAACCTGTTACTTTAGCCATCATAACACACTAACAGGGAGAAGGAAGCTAGTAGCAATGTGCCTTGATTGAATAGATAAAAAGTTCTTATAGGTAGCAAAAGACCAAATCTCAGTTGTTTGCTTCTTGCCATCACTGGCCCAGGTATTTAGTTTCTGGATCTCTTTTCCCTTTCCTGTGGCCTGTTGCTGCTGTGTGACTTTTGCTTAATCCAAAATATTTAGCCTTTTTTTTCTATATCAAAAACCTCTCTGATTACCGGGGATGTCTCTGACCAAGGAAGTTGAGCCGCTGGATCTCTCTTATGCTGTAGTGTTTAAAAGGCTGAGAACAATGGGGCCTGGCTGATGTGGTAGGTGATGAGGCCAGAGATGGGGATCTGAAATGGCAGTCTTTTTACCTGCTGCAATCTCTAGTAGTTCATTATCACTTCTGAGAATGGAATTTCCCAAAACAAAAAAGGGAAACAAAAAACCCTGAATAATTAGAGGAGGCCATTTAAATGTGTCATTTGTGCATCTTCACTTACCCATGAGCCAGTGTCTCATTTGGTTTTGCACAGGCCTCCCTGGCACGGAGCCTTGGGCTTTATCTAGCAGTTGGGCAGCACTGTGAGTGGTTCAAGCACACTGGAATATAGAACAGCCGAGGTCTGAGATGCAGATCATGCCATTCCAGAACCAAATCCTGGCAGGTACTGCTGTGTCTTTTCCCAGAGTGACGGTCATACCTACTATACAACAACAAAGGGAGAATGGTGCTGTTTAAAAGTTACCTCCCTGTAAAATTGCAGAATTAAAAAGATTTCTCTCTTAGGCCCACTTGCCTAATTTCCTTATCTCTTCCCCCATGGTGTCCCAAACTTTGACATCCCAGTGTTCTGAAAGGAGGCGTTGCTATATGTTTTCCTTCGACCGCACCAAGCCGTCACCCTCCATTGCTCCCAGGGACCCAAGAGGAATTGGTTTCTCTGCTGTCAACTTCCCATCTGGCTCAGCCTAGGGTCACTCTGCCATTATGCAAATGGAGATTAAAGCAATTCTGACTGTCTAGGAGCTAATCTGACCATTCTATTGTGTGGATGACCACATAAAAAGGCAATTTTAGTGTATTAATCATAGATTATTATAAACTATAAACATAAGGGCAAGGAATTTATTACAATGTACCTTTATTAAAACAAAAGGGTGTATAGTGTTCACAAACTATGAGAATACTGTAAGAACTGTACATTGTGAGCTCTGGTTATTTTTCTCTAGTACCATAGAAAAATGTATAAAAATTATCAAAAAACTAATGTGCAAGGATATTGCCTTATTTGTCTATAAAAATGGAGCTCAGTAACATAACTGCTTCTTGGAGCTTTGGAATATTTTATCCTGTATTCTTGTTTGAATTCCTCCTCTATATAAGATATATACATGAAATCAAAGTGTTTATGTAATAGTTCTATCCTTTTGCCTGCAGGTCAGTTGTAATAAATCTAAGATGTGATGATGAAAAAAAAAGAACTATCTACAAATCACACTGAATCTGTTAAAAACTAATTGAAAATTAAAATAGAAACACTAAAAAAGAAATAAAGGAAAATAACAACCTTGTTACATAAAAATTTAAAAAAATAACATTATCTGTTTAAAAGTTAGAGAGAGACAGAGAGACAGAGAGACAGAGAATCCTGGATCTGCTATTTCATTCCCTAGATGCCTACAAGAGCTGGAGCTGGGCCAGGATGAAGCCAAGAGCCCAGAATTCATTCTGTGTCCCCCACGTGGATTGCATAGACCAAGGCACTTGAGCCATCATCAGTTGCCTGCCAGTGTGTGCATTAACAGGAAGCAGGATCGAAAATGGAGTTGGGACTCAAACCCAGGCCCTCCAATATGGGATGCTGGTTTCCAATGTGGTGGCTTAAACTACTAGGCCACAATGCCCATACCTATTATAATTTTTAAACAAAGACTCAGGTCTTCTGAAGATCTTAAGAAGATAAGTCTGGGATTGAGTGGGAAGCCATATGTTGACAGAGCCCTAGTTGATATTTTTTATAAACCTAAATTTGTGATGGTGGTTCTCAAAGGATTGTCCTTGGAACCATCAAATTTGAAACTTGTCCAACATAAAACTTGATGGACTCAAGTTGAGATTTCCTGAGACAGAAACTTTGGAGTGGGCCTTAAAGATCTATGTTTAAAAAAATGTTGAGGGGCTGTCACTGTGGCATAGCAGGTAAAGCCAGCACCTGCAGTGCTGGCATCCCATATAGGTGCCGGTTTGAGTCCTGGCTGCTCCACTTCTGATCTAGCTCTCTGCTATGGCCTGGGAAAGCAGTAAAAGATGGTCTAAGTCCTTGGGCCCCTGCACCTACGTGAGAAAACTGGAAGCAGCTCTGGCTCCTGGCTTTGGATCAGTGCAACTCTAGCCATTCTGGCCAATTGAGGAGTGAACCAACAGATGGAATACACCACCCCCCACCGCCTATCTGTCTCTCTCTGTGTAACCATGACTTTCAAATAAATAAATAAATCTTTAAAAAACCACAAATATTGAGGCAGTCCTGGTTTAGGCTAGATTTGACATCACTACTCCAGTGAATCCTAGAACACTTTCTACTCAACCATCATCTTATTAGGAATCTACAAGCCAATAAATGCTGCCATATTTGTCACCAAGAAGTGATCCAAGTAAGATTAATTTTTCCCAGAGGTGAAGAACATAGGAGAGAGAAATTATAGATGTTCCTACTGTTAATCTCCCAAGGATAATGAATTGGCAGGTTACAGACTCCCTGTTCTTGAGGAACCAACATAATCAGAGAATGAACACATCACTGATCAATTTGTCTAATTAGCGTCAGAGGGGATACAGCCTCCAGGACACAACTTGGAACTCACTAATTTATAGTCATCAATGTCCCAAATGCAAGACACTCACATCATCTCCAGAAGAAGTGATCCAGGCCCTGTGCCACATGCCTGGCTCTGTCTCCCACTCTTCTGGGGGCCAGACCTTCTGTCTTTATCACCCACTCTCTATGAAAGAAAGAGATTCTAGACATTTGGCTTTGTGTGGGTTCATGCTGCCGAGCCTGCATAGCCTGGTAAGTGTTGAGGAAACTAGGGGAGGGGAAAGGGCATTGCCTATTGTTAAGTATAAGGTAGGGTAAACATTCATGGAGAAAGACTTGCTGAAGATAATTTCTTGGAAGGAAGAATGATTAGACTACTTGGTGATAGCTGCTACGGCATAGTGAGTTTTCTCTTTGATTGTGTTTTGTTTGTGGGCATGGCTGAGAAGATGATGAGAGGTGCTAGTCTTTGTTGGCCATTTCACTGCCCTGGACTACATGGTCTAGTGTTATGATTTCCAGTCCAAGTTGCACAGATGGATGCCCCAAGGTCCTGATAGAACTGT